TGTGTGGAAACTTTCCATCTAACATTTGTTTAATCTTACAGTAGATATTGGTTGTTGCTTGCGATTAATCTTGTAGCAGAAATTCTATACTATCTGGATTCGTTATATAATGATTCGACAACATACCCAGATTTGAAGAAGATGATTGATACGTAAGTGAGATTGTTCTAAATATTCGTGTGTATATTTATTTATCTATGTGAGATTGTTCCAAGTAGTCGTTTATATTTTATTATAGCGTTCTACAAGCTTTTCGATCACAAAGAGGTACTCAAGTACCAAAGAGCAGAGCTAACAACATTACATGGATCAGAGTGCAGGTGTATTTTCACAATTTTGATTATATTAGTGATGATACTTGATAAAACAAGTTAAGGGGTATATTCTGATATATATCTGTATTTTCTTTCCATGTTTAGTGTCATCGCCAACGTAATGGTATAGATTACGTTATTTCATATTAAGGTTTATGAAAGAAACACTTCTTTTGGACCGAATAAATATTCCATCCACGGTATGGATTTCTAACTTAGGAATTCTTTTAATATTTCTCATAAAATGGCATAGTGTTTTAACTAAATCACATACTATGTTATATTATTATGTAGTACTTTGACTAATTCAATTGTGCTCATTACTCAAAAGATCAATTGGATGAACTTATGGAGAAATGGTGTCAATTTATTATGGAGTTGAGAATTTTATAAGGTATATTATCTTTCTTTCATTGATGAGAATTTTGAGTATAACTTTCGAGTTTTGAGTATAAATTCGAATAAAGTTTTGTTTTATCATGGTATGAATTTCGATCTTTTGATTTTGTTTCAGGTTATAGGTGCAGATGTAGAAGATAGAGCTAACAAGTTCATTGTTGTTGTTTTTTAGAAATTCTCGAAGATAGTAATATGTAGATTAAATATCAATTTAGAATTTTAGAATTTTCAAGTTGTATCATCAACTTTCAAGTTATTGTTGTATATATCATCAATTATATATATGTAGATTTTTTGTATATGCAAATTTGATGCAAATTTATTGGATTGAAGCTACCAAATCTGGTACAAAATATGGTGAATACCTGGTGCAAAATATAGTGAAAATCTGGTGAAAATTTATTGTAGATATTAGACAGCGCTTTCTGTAAATTTTAAAAAAATTGTGAACATTAGACGATGCTTAATGAGAAAAGCGCTGTCTAAAGTGGTGAAAAAGCGCCGACTAAGGTGGGGAAAAGCGCTGCCTAAAATGGAAAAGAGCTGCCTAAAGTGGGGAAAAGACAATGCTTTTAAAGAAAAGCGTTGTCTAAAGCGATGCCTAAAAGATAACCAAAAGTGTTGTCTAAAGAGAAAACGCTGCTAAAGGGGTACATAAGAAAGTGCTTCAAAAGAGAAAGCGCTGCTAAATGGGTGCATAAGAAAGCGCGTTTAAAGTAAAAGTGCTGCCTAAAGGGGACATATAGCAGCACTTTTACATTAATCTAAAGCACTGCATTTACTTATAGCGGTGCTGGTTTAGGCAGCGCTTTAAAGCTCTGTCTATGGCCAAAAAAGCGTTGTATATGTGCTTGTTTGGCATAGTGTTGCAAGTATGAAAAGTGAAAATAGTGGATGATGAAGATGATGTTACAGTGATGAAACAAGTCTTTGGCTCACTTATACATGATGTATATGAAGTGTTTGGATGATTTTTTTGGACAAAAGTTACAAGAGTGATGAGTTTCGAAGTTAAGGTTTCAAAAGCTTAAAAATGGAGATTTTTGGCCAATTCTAATTTGAGAGAGAGTGAGGGTGTTTTTGGAACTGTTCATTCGTGCTTTAGCTTGCAAATGGCCTCTCTATTTATAGGCAAGGGGTTTGAAAGTTTGAAGTAACCAGAATCTTGAGATAACAAGTTATGGTTTGGAAGCTTAGTTTTGAAGTAACCTTGAAGAACATGATTCCAATGCATTGTAGGGTGGTTGGTAGGCTTAGAGATGTTGCTTCTGAGCATTCGTGTTGAGTGTGATCAGAAGAAATAAGTTAGAGGCTCAAGGAGTGGACTTTCTGATTAAAGTGATCTTTATGCAAATGGATATGGAGCTTTTTGCAATTTCATCCAAAAATAGTATGATCAAGTGGATAAAGCTTCAAATCCTTGTGTAATGCACCATAATCTTGTGTAAATCTATGATTATGTGAAGATTCAGAAGTAACATAGCCTGAAAAGTGAGATTGAATGGTAAGGTGTGAGATTTGGCCATAAGGTTTTCAAGGGAAATGACCTATAATTCAAGTATGGCATGCCATCTTCATCTCTTCGAAACTTCTAGCTCAAGTATAATAAATTTGTGTTCTTGGACATTTTGGAAAGTTTGAATCAATATCTACAACTTTCATGTTGACCACTTTGGCTAAATCAAATGGGAACTTGGTGAAAATTGGCCAAGAAGTTGGGATAAAAAAACTGACCAAAACTTGTTGAAAACTTTTCCAAGTATTGGATAAAAAATATCACAACTTCATGGGCTCATATCTCTTAATTTAAGCACTTTTTGAGGATCATCCCACAAACAAAGTTATAGAATTCATCAATCCCTACAATTTTCATGTTTAAAGTTTTCTTTGAATCAACTTGCATCTCAGTGAAAAATGGCCATGAAGTAATGACTTTGTTAAGAATAAAACACTTAGAATTTTTTCTAAGTGTTGGAAAATTTTCCAAATTTTGACTTTTTGTTGACTTTTTGATTCTTGATGACAAAATTTGATAATTTTAATATTTTGATGATTCTTGATTTTTGAATTTCAATGTTGACCAAAAAGTCAAAGTTTGACTTTTGTGTGACTGTTGACTTTTCATCAATTGATTCAATTCTTCAACTATCAATCACTTGTATCTTTGGAAATGTCTTGAGCCATGTAATTAGGTCAAAATATTGTATTTGAGCTCTTGAGATCATGCTTTAAGCCATTAGGTCATGCACTAGTCCAAAAGTCAATGATCAGTCATCTTCAGTCAAAACCCTAATTTGGCAATTTTTGACCTTTGATGATTTGAAGGCTTTCCTTGAGGAATCATGATCAAACCTTGATCAAATGATGAATATCACTTCAAAATGTTGATGTTAACAAAAATATCTTGAAGTTTGACTGTATGTTGACCTCAATTGACTTTTTACCAAATACAGTTGATTTTCAATCATCTGAGCCATTGATTGAGCAAACATGTGATACAAGACTTAAAACTTGACATAAACATTATTGAGGACCTATGATGAACCATGAAAATCATTTGAGACCCTTGCAACCCAATCTTCTTTGAGAAGCACCAAACCTTAGTTGAAGACCCTTGCTTAGGAGAAGGTTTGACCAGTTAACTCTTGAGTGGCTTTGAGTATTTGAACCCTTTTGAGAAAGTCTTGAAGAAAAATAGAGACTTCTTGGCTATCCACTCAAGTCGGGTTATGATCGGTAGGAATGGGCAAATGCAAACAAAGCCCTCACAAGGAAAAGCAGAGATAGGTGCTTAGGGGGCAACTGTTCTGAGGCGGTCAGAAGACCCAACAACCACAACCTATAGGACACAAAAATCCACTTAGTCACTCATGGAACATGAATGTTATCATGGGTTAAAGCGGGAGATTCGGATCTAAGATACATCAAACGATTCCCGTCATCCTACGCCTGAAGTTTAATAAGTTATTATAACCTCTCTATTATATAAAGAGGAAACACACCATTTTTAGATACAATTTAAATTCAAGTTTGATTCTCTCATCTTACTCTCATATTGACTTGAACGTTGAAGTGTTAATCTAACTGGTCAACCTCATTCTGACCGTAACAAAAACTCAAGTCCACCATTACAATTCACAATCTTCGATCTCTGATCAATTATGACTCCCTAGCGAAACATATTGTATGGATTTGTTTAATTTCAAGATGAATATGTATCTTATGGTGAATTATCATTATTTTAAATATAATGTATGAATTTACTAAATTTTGAGTGTGTTATATGGATTTATTTAATTTAATTTGAAATTGTTTGAAAAATTAAATACATAGAATAATTTATTTTAAAAAATAATTGTTTAAAAAAATATGATAAAAAAGAATTGTTAACAAATGAATGCATTATTTAAAAAAGAAGAAGTATTTTAAAACGCTGAATATAATCAAATCAAAATAAATAAAATCGATTAATTTGATTCAATTCTATTTTTAAAAATAGTGAAAATCAAAATAAACTAAATTGTTATAAAATTTATTGATTTCATATTTTTTATTGAAAATCGATTTAAATTGAACCGTTATATCTCAAATAAAGATATTTTGTGAGTTTTTAACACAACATTAATTTATTTTTTATTTTTTGAGGTATTAAAAAACTACTTTTTGACCAAATTATAAATACTTTTTGTTTGTTACCTTTATTCTAGAACTTAAAAAAACTTTTTTTTTTGACAACTTGAATTTTTTTAACTCTTCACTTTTTAAAATATGATATTTTATATTTTATATAAATGGAAAATTTGTTTTTTTTCAACATAAAAAACAAATAAAAAATTGGTTTTATATATTTTTATAAATAGAATATCCTTTTTTACCAATGCTAATTTGAAAAACAAGATCTTATTCATGAACCTTTCACGCAAAAAATTACTTTATAATTATCAACAAAAGTAGAATCGGTTTTATACACTTTATTATTATAAAAATAAAAATAAAAATAAAACAAACGTTGTAACCTAATGTGATTCAATGTATATGTATATAAATAATTATTTAATATTCTAAAACGTTGTAATTATCCAAAAAAAAAAAAGTCTATTTATAATAATTTCATAAAAAAAATCGGATTCAAAATTTCAATTTAATTATAGTAAAAAATTGAAATAAAAAATCGAATTAAAGAAAACGTATATGGATAGTTGAAGGCTATTTAGAAGAGAAGAAACTTTGCACACTCTGCACCAATTCCCCTTCTCTTTCTCTCAATTTTCAGATTCAGTTACGGTTATGGAGGCCACTTCTGAATCTTCCGACGAAAAAGCCGCTAATCTTCCCGTCATTGATCTCCGCCTTCTCTCTCAATCGGAGTTATACACTATCTCCCTTTCTCACGCTACCGCCTGTAACCGTCACATCGACGACGGTTGCGTTATCCCTAAAATTGACCGTTCTGTTTTCAAAGAGTCCGCCGGTAGCCGGAAACAGACGTTCTCTCGTCTTCGTCTCTTTCCTCGTAGCAACAACAATCCGTACTCTCCCGTTCCTGTTCCGGTTTCTGCTGCCGTCGCTCCTGTTGCGGTTGTTCCCGCTCCTTCGTCTTCGGGAAGCCGCATTCCCGCTGACGGAGAGAATTCGCAAATAATCGATCTCCTTCAAGAACTATTCGGCGTTGAACCTCTCCGCGGCCCTTATAATGACCGTGCTAATGACCGTGCTGTTCCGTTGCAAGTTGATTTCAAACAACCGGCTCTTGAATTTACGCCTCAGGCTGCTCAGGATACTTCGGTTGATGGTAGTCAGAGGAAGCGGAAGCGCGGAAGGCCTCGCAGGGACGAGACTCCGGTTTTAGCCATTTGCGATGGTAGTAATGGGAAGGGGATGGAAACGGGTGATGAGAAGAAGGTAGAAACTGGTAATGACAAGAAGAAGAGGAAGGTGGAAACGGCTAATGAGAAGCAGGGGTTTGTTCTTGATGATGCTGGGGATCCATTTGTGGAGGAGTTGATCGTGAGGACACAAGGGATGAATACGGAGCCAGAGTTGCTGGAGTTTTTGGAGGGTTTGAATGGAGTCTGGGCAAGTGATAGGAAGAAGAGGAGGATTGTTGATGCTAATTGTCTCCGTGATGTGCTGCCAACTGGGTGGAAGCTTATACTTACTCTTCAGAGAAGAGGGGCTCGAGCATCGGTGTTATGTCGCCGTTACATAAGGTATTGGGCAACTATCCTTTTCTTGTTCCATTTTATTCATTCTTTGAATTAGAATTTGGATTTAAGCTTTTATATCATTTTAGAATTTGATTTTAAGCCTTGTTATCATTTTAGAATTTGGATTCAAGCTTTGATATCCTTTTAGAATTTGAATGTAAGCCTTGTTATCATTTTAAAATTTGGATTTAAGTCTTTACTTAACCCCACAAAACTGAAGTGTAAGGGGGAGACTATCCAAGCCTTATCAGCATTGCCATGGCCATATCTCTAGTTGATGTGGAACTTAATATTTTTGAACTAACTTGATTGGTTCAGTGAGAACTGGCCAATTCATTAAGTTTTTCAAAACTTTGATGTGGTAATTTTGGTTTCTACTTGTTTGCATGGATAACCTATCGAATTGGTAAGTAGTACCAAGTTCACTTGTTTAAATGGCCAGTCCAAGTTTAATAACTACAATGTAAAAAAGATACTACTTGATATGGAGTGAAAACATAACTGCTGTTTTATGAGATTGCAGAACCTCATATTTGGATTAGAAAGGGAATCTTAATTGAAATTGAATAATATGCAATACGTAGGCAAAATTAAATTAGGCGATCTTGAGCAGACACAGCAGATATTGGCACAATCAAGATTCTCTCATATATGGCAACATAGCTCCTATTTTCCCTTTAGAGGGCATTTCATCCTCAGAGTCTGTACTATATTTGATCTAATTTAATTCATCTTTTATTAAGAAAAAAAACATTGAAGATGTTCCTTGTTTGCTGAAAATATAAATGTTGTCTTGGTTACATTCTAATATTTTGCTTATGTTTTCCGTCAGTTTATGAACAATTGAATAAGGGGAAAACAATGTGTGTATATATTAGTGTTTATTTCACAATGCTTTTATTTTAGAAGTTACATGTTATATAGCAGTATAATGTAAGTACTAGTAGGTAGAAAAAGAACAGACTATTTGTGTTTGCTATCATTTTGATATGAGGTGAATGGGTTGAATTTTTATAAAAGGAAGGGGCTGGGGTGGCATCTGTAACCCTGGGTCAGCCCTATCCTTCCTAGGGAGAGTTGTCTGCAGCCTGTGTTCTGTAATGGTTCAAGCTTTAATGAAAATCTGTAGTAGGCATATTATCTATTTCAGTATCCATGATTTTCTTTTGGAATACCATAGATGTTCGCCCTTATTAAATGAACCCCAATCTACTTACATTCATATTTTGATTTCTACCGTGTCCAAGCTATGACACAAAATGAATTTAATTGTTTATTCACTCAAGCATCAAATTCCTAACAATCCCACCTTTCATAAGATGGATGGAGGGATGAAGTTATTGTGACATTGAAGTTTGAGAATAAATTGTTATATTCTTATGTGACCTGTGAGGGACCAAAAATGAGTTTTACTGTAATTTTACTCTGTACCAGCTGTAACCTGAAGTCTATTGGCACAGTTTATGCATATATTGACTATTGTTATGGATTATTTATGTTGGATTCTTAAGCAATTTTCCTAATTTGATTTCATTCAGTCCCGATGGAGGCCAGTTTGAGACATACAAGGATGTTTCTTCACACTTGGTTTCTTTGTTCGGTGTTCAAGACGCGAGCCACTTAAAATCTTGTTATACTGATGGTAGTAAGCAGTTCTCCAACAATATCAATATGTCATCTGAAAATGTAAGCTAATATTTGTAATTTCTTTTTCTTTTTATGTTCCAATAACAAAAGGAACATGTTTCACTTTTTCTTCTTTTTACACACGCTGCAGAATATTGGTCCCGTCCCTACAGACGGTATTAAGATTGATGCCAATGCAAGTTCTCATCATGAGAAGCAGGCCACCATATCATCACCAATTGGAACTGAAAAGCTAAACACTTCTGATGGGAATTTAAATGGTGTCCTGGCAGCTATCGATTGTGAATTAGGTGATGCCACCAATGGAGCTTTTGGAGTCTCTGACCATCCAACTGACGAAAAGCTACCACTGAAGGCAGATAAGAATGATGCAAACTCAGTTCAGGAATGCTTTCTTTCAGAGGACAGAGTTTATAATGTATGTAATCAGGATTTGGTTGGTGCTTTTGTGGCTAGTAGTGCTGCATGTAGTCTATATATATAAAACAAAGGAGCGTGTTTAATTTTCTCTCTCTCTTTTTTATGCATGCAGCAGAGTGTTGGTCCCACCCCTACAGGTGGTACGAAGATTGACGCCAATACAAGTTCTCATCAGGAGAAGCAAATTGGAACTGGATGGTATGAAACTGTTCCCTGTGGAAATGATCAAGCACGTGTTGGTGACAATGGGCTTGGGCTTTCTTCCACATTAATGGAAAACCACATCCAGAAAATAGCTTCTGAAAGCAGCATGCTGGTTCCAAATTCTCAAGATATTTCTACTAATGGTAAACTTCAGTTTTATTCGGAAGGCTCTGTTGTCCCATCCCAGAATGAACTTAACCATACATCTATAGAAAGTATGGACAGGGAAGAAACTTCTGTGCTGAAGGACCCTGCTGAGACAAAAAAAAATTACAATGATTTACCTGGGTTGTCCACTGATGAGAGAACATGGGATCACAATGAATATCTGAATAATATTTCTTTTGATCCCTGGCAACAAGATGCATCTGTGTCTGATGTAATTGATTTTACTCCCAATCTTTATGTAACTAATGGCTTTAGTGATGATCATGCTCCTCCAGTAGACGAAGTTGCGACAAGCTGTTTACAGAAAACGGGTTCTCTGAAGGAGCAAATTTGCACAATGGACAATCAGTTGCACAGAAGTTCTGAAAGTAACTTATTTACTGTAGCCGGGAATCAGCACCCATCTGCTCTCCATGATAATATGGATAACATCTCAGCTGGAACCTTTGGTGCTGACAAGAAAAATGATGATGGAGTTAATAACGGAAATACCTCTTGCTCATCAGGTATTCGCAAATTCTGGTAGCAGCCTGGTTGGATTCAGTTGTGTCCTCAGATGCAGTGCATGAAACAATTTTAAAAATAAAACATGTATGGTAGTTTGCAGAGTGCCTGTAAATTATCAATTTTTTGCTCAAGATGATAGCCTAGGAAAGGTAATATTTACATTATTACAAAAAATATGTTCTGCAGAAAGATTTATTTGTTTCGAAGGATTCATTTTATGCCTCTCTGGTCTAAGTTATTTGAAATTCATGGTGAAATCAAACTATTTTCTTTTAATCTGAATTTTTGGAAGTTAGTCTGAAAGTAGTTTATGCCATCATATTGTTGCTTTTTCTACAATTAACTTTATAACATGGTCACAAAATATATGGAAAAAATATTTTTTGACATGGATGGATTTTGCACATTTAAAACGAAATGAAGAAGGTTGCTTATTGAGATAGTAATATCCTTGTACTTATGAGTTATTTCCTAAATATGCATTTTTTTAATCTTATTAGTTTTTGCTTGGGTGCTTTATTGATTGGAGTATAATTCAATTCAGTAGTGATGTCCTTGGGTATCAAAAACCTAAAGTGTGTGATGACCGAGCATATGTTGAAACTTGTAGTAGGACAGTTAGTGGACTGCAAATCAAGAATACCCAAGGTTGAAAAGTTCAAATACTGTATTATTTGGGGGTAGGGGAGTATTGTACTTACGGAAAAAACTACTAACAAGAACTTTGTGGTGGCTGTAAGGCGTAGAATTTGACGCCAAAATTAGCCGTGATAACATCAATAGCTGTCTAGGAGCCTCTGATTTGAGATCATGGAAAAGCCATGTTCTAGCCAATTAGATAAGTATTTATAGTCATATTGTAGTACCTTGTGTTGTGTTGGAATTTTCTCCTTCATTGTGGTCCGTCCCTAGTCGCCTTAATTGCGGCATTTGACTTGCCTTAATTGCAGCCCCTGACACCTTCATTGTGTTGGATTTGAAGGGGTGGATTTAATTCTACATTGATTAGAGATATGGTCTGTTGTCTGTTTATAAGTGGGGGGCAATCCTCATCTTACAAGTCGGTTTTGTAGGGGTGAGTTAGGGTCAATCCAAATTCTGAGATGTTGCTTTTTGAGTGAAAGTGGATTGAATTTTACACTGAATAGGACTAACACTTTTTAAGATCTTGTGTCCAGATTTACAGACGATTGAGCTTATGAACCTTAACTTATCTACTTGCATGCTTTAATTTTTAAAGCTAATAGTTTCAATCTACTGTTTTCTTCCTCCTTTACTAATTTTGCTTGTATTTTCTGAACAAAACAGACATATACTTGAAGGCAACACTATTTTGTTGATAAATTTAGCTGATCGTGCTGGTGGCTTCGGAATTCAGAGGTTACTGTGCAGGTTCTGGTGCGAGGTTTCTCCTGCTTCTTGCCAGAGCTCAGACTGCTTTTTTATGTTTCAAGTAAAAGTTTTGCTTTAGGTCATTTTAGTTTAGAATATTCTTTTTCCTTCTCTGCTATACCGATACATTGAATTTTTGGTTGATCCTTCAAATGAAGAAGGAACTATTTTCCCCCCAAATTTCAAAATTGAAAAGTCATACCAGGTGTTGATTTTCCTGTTTGACGTGAATCTGCCTGTTTGCACAACGTCATTGATATTGTTTTTGGTTCTGGGTCAAATGTTTAAGGACGGGTTTAATTTTGTATACTTTTAAAAGTTTTTGTTATTAAAATATTTTGTACCAATATGATAGAATTTTGTATACTTTAGAAACTAATTACTAAGAACTATTTATTGTTTGATTAAAATTTTTTGTTATCTTTATTTAATGGATATGTATTGACGGGGTAAAATAGTTTTACACTTTCATTCAATAGAAAATCCGTTATTAAAAGAATTTTAAAATATAAGTGATGTGGTGGGATATATGATCGATATTGATTGACGGTGTAAAATTAATTTACAGTGTGAGTACATCAAATATTTTCTCCATTTTTATATACAAGGGAACTAAATTTGAAAGATTAAAATAAAATAACACTTGTCAAAAATTTTAAGATTTTACTTTAGGAAATGTCCTTGTTGGAATGGGAATAAAATTTTATGAACGAAATTTTCGGTATAAAAATTTTGGTAGTGTATACAAAATTTCTGGTATGTAACAAATTTCGGTAGTTTATATGAAATTTTTGGTATTCTGAAAATTCCAAATTTACTATATTGTACCGAAAATTTAGTTATATATTGTAGTTTTCGGTAGTATATTGATTTAAGTTTTTTCAACGATCTGGATTTTATTGATATCTTTGGGAATCTGATTGTACCGACAATTTTGTGTGATCTAAAATGTATCGATATTTATATAAATAAGGGTATATGTTATAGAGAAATACATCTCAAAAAACATCTTCAATTTCTGATTAAGGCGGAAGTATATTTCAACGGAAACAACCCTCCCGTTGAATTCAAGCTTCCAGATGGCACCACATCCCTCGCCAATTTGAAAGACAAGTTGAATGAATTATTGTATGATTTTGATAACAGAAGGGTGAGAAAAATCGAGTTTCGAGAAAATTGGATTGATACAAATGGAAGAGTGAAATACAACATGATTGAGTTGAATACCGATGAAGATGTGAAGGTTGTGTGAAAATCATTTTGCCGTAGGATAACTAAAGGTTCGATCGAGTTGGATGCGCAAATGACAAGATCCGTCGACGACATAATCAAGATGCAGAAACTTCCAGAATCATCTGGTAGCACCTATGTTTTCATGTTTAGTTTTTTAATTTATGTTTGTTGTACTGTTTTATGTTGTGTTAATCGTCAACTCGAAACATGTAATCGTCAAAATATGTAATCGCCAAAATATTATGCAATAAATAAATATCGTGATAAGAAGTATGCGTCACAAAATATACATATAATACAAGAAAAAAAGAGATCTACATACACCCCCACAGGCTACGTTTGTTAGCCTAGATAAACCTGTAAAAGTCACATCATCAGGGCTTACCAAACCCATAAGGTTATCAGTAAGAAGTGAAATAAACTAGATTTGGCTATCCTGGTCACCTGCGGCAAGTAGAGGTGGTGGTGACGACACGTCAGAAACCCTAGCACCAAAAGACCTCGGAGCATCGGAAACCCCAACATTAGAAGACTCTACAGTCGGTGGTATGAGGCGAGGGTGTGATATATTGTGATACCACTCCGGGTATCCATTCTCGCTCTATGAAGGATACTGAATCGTAACTGCGTATCCCTGATGGCACGGACAAAGTTGATGATGTGACTCTAAAACCATCTGTCAATATCACCAGTTGGAGTATCTAGAACTGGGAAAGGGATGTCCTGAATATAACCATACAGTCATAGACACTTCTCAGGAAAGTGTCTAGACACATGATTCTCCCACCTCATATACCCTGAATACAAGGAAGCGTCGTCAAATGGAAGATAGGCCCGATGAGCTGTATATGGTGTCTAAATGACATCATCTATTATTAGAGCGTCAAGCCTTTTTTTGTACTCCACAACACCTCTTGCATGTGCTTGTTGCCCTTTCATCTCCTCATAGAGCACTCGCCAGGACACGTTGGATCTTCCAGTCACACATGTGGGGAAAATGCTCGCTAAATAAATAAAAACAGGTTAATATGACATCCAACAAATAAGTAGAATTCTCAAATAAATAAATGAAAACCAACAAAGAAATGCTAGTATACATGTAATAGGCTCAGATAACTAGCAAGCTGTCTGGTCTCAGGCCGGGATACAACTCAAAATGTCGTGTACAACATGGTCAACATTGCCACTCCCTAAGCCCAACATGAAGTGTCTAGGGTACTAAACAGAGACAAGTATCAGACATCAATATAAACACCAGGCTTGTCTGCAATGAGAGTACATGTTATTAGATATAGCATGTATGACATAGCGACAATCTCATACCTCTTTGCCAACACGTGCTCCACGTACCTCTCCCTCAACCAAGACATTCAAAGGTGAAGTCTCCGGTAAAATCCAAAATCCTCAAGAACCTTAGCCTTACTGACCTCCAAATCATCCATAACCATGTGCAGCACCGTTGTCTAGTTAATATGAGAAGTTGTGAAGAATGTACCAGCGGTCGGGAGATGAAACAACGCATCAACATCATCCAATGTGATCGTCATGTCTCCCAATAGAAGATGAAAGGATGATGTTTCTAGGTGCCATCTCTCAATAAAAGCTAACATGAGAGAAGCGTCGAGCATGGTCAGTGAGCACTCGACGAACTTCAGCAGGATAAACTCAAACAATACACATGACCTCCTCAGGCATCACATCCTCTGGGAAGTTCTTCAACTTCGAACCATAGGATGCGACCTTCAACATCAGACGCTCTTGTAAGAAATAAAGTTAAAAACATTATACATAAACATTTAACACTTGATCCAACCATAATGAGTTATTTGCAATAAAAAATATAACATATATACCTCGCTCTGTCAAACTCTATATGCGACATGGTCATCATACCATGTGAGCACGAATCTGTCAGAAGACCCTCCTGGAATGCCTCCATCAGTGTAAACCGACAGCTTCGTAGACGCATGAATCGTGGTGTCTGTATTAGTGGAAGACACCTCATTAACCTGCTTAATAATCGTCTTCTCCACAATCACCTCCTCAACAACTGTCTCCTCTATAGTAACCTCCTCAACAACCTTCTCCACCATAATAACTGCCCCAAGAGCCTCCTCAACAACCGCGGCTCCACAACAATATGCTCAGTCCCAAGAGCAGGTACCTCCACAACAACCTGCTCAGTCACAAGAGCAGGTACCTCCATAGAATCATGTATCTCCACAAGAGTCGATACCTCCACAAGAGTAGCAACTCTGGCAGCCCGACGTTGGGGTGCGCGAAACTACGCTTGCTCAGTCAACCGTTTTTGGTGAGAATCGATCGGAAGATGTCGTCAACCCCGTAGCTCGGAAGCATGTGCCTCATCAGCCAGAACCTGAGTTTTCGCTCTATCAATTAGCCTGCCCGAAATGAAACTGTCTTTACTCCTGATCCTCATTGAAACAAAGAAAAAAGAAAGAAAAATAAATTAGAAAATAAAATGAACTATCAGAAATTTTGAAATTTCCTAAATTTTTCAAGAAAAATTAAACTACTAAAAATTTTAAAATTTTTGATACAAGATACTACAAAATAACCACAAATTTCTCGTAAGAAAATATCGGCAATTTTCAAATTTCTATACAAATATGAAAATTTTGCAAAAATACCATAAATGCTACTCCTTCCATCTCATTGTGTTAACCAACAAACAACCAAACAACTTTTTAAGATTGGTCGGCTACATGAATAAATCAGTGATAATATTTTTTGTATTAGTATGTTTTATCAAATTCTTTAATCTCTTCATTTTTTTATAATTTTTCTCATTTTTTTTAAAGGATTTTCTTCTATCTATATATATATTTGACTATGCTTTATTCAATTTACTCTCACTACTATATAGTTTACATTTAAACTGCCTAAATCGAATTTGATAGGTGTGTTAGAATAAATTTGACTAAGTAGAAATATAGTCTTATATTAAATATGAATATGGTGACTTGTATTAAAATGTGTATGAAGTGGTGTTTCATTGTAAAATTTCAATAGCGTGAGGAGTAATAGAATAATAATGCAAATGTGAGTAAGTGAGAAAATAGTCTCACATTAAATATAAATGTGATAACTTGAATATTTATAAGTAAGAAAACTCACTCACAAAAATATCTAACCCTACACTATATATCAATGCTCCCTAATAAACTGTCTAACAAGGTGCTACCTCAATTCTGTCACATCCTTTCTCAATTTTATAATATATAATGTTAACACACATTTAGAGGTGCTACCTCAATTCTCTTCCTCTAATGTTGTCCTTTTCAATTTTATAATATATAATCTTAACACACATTTAGAGGTGCTACCTCAATTCTCTTCCTCTAATGTTGTCCTTTTCAATTTTATAATATGTAATCTTACCACACATTTAGAATACCATACGCATCTATGTCATCTGAATTTGTGTTTATGTTGATTTTTTTCAACACTTTTTTGTTCAGTAACCTCCGATGAAAAATCTATTTTCTTGAAACGTCATACCTGTTGTATCTCAATTTTTGCCCCTAAGATTCTCCTATCATATCATGTCAACTTGATCATAACAAGATCACATTAGGGTTGATTCTTTCTCTTTTTCTATCTCCTATATTTAAGTTTGCTCTTGAGGAATATCCAAGCACCTTAGTTGTGTATTTTGTATATGTGTTGTTGACTAACTTCTAATCAAAATACA